ATATTCGAGATCTTTAATACTTTCTAGTATTGGAGTATTAGCGGATAGCATTCGTTCATCTCTAGTATATCTTGTTTGTTCTATTTTAAGTTTCTGTAAGGAAAAGAATAAACAAACTTATCCAGCAAGTTACATTGAAAAAAAATTAAACTGCAGAGTATAATCTGTAAAAATTTTTAAAATTTCAACAGATTTTTAATAAAATACTGTAATCTGTAACATTATTTAGTTTATATTTGCATTTTTGTTCGGACTAAATTATTAATAAATTTGTAACCACATAAATTCATGGTAATAAAGTTTAGAAATCGGGCAAGATTTTAAATATGTGAAATATAATAAAAATCAAGAGTAATTTGTATAGTAATTATAGTCAAATTTTCAAAAAGAAGTTTAATATTTTGTTTAGATATAAACTTATATATATATTTCTTCTGATAATTAATATATATAATTAAAATACAGTATAGCCTATCCATTGTCATTCCACATCAGCTGCTTATGAAGTAAATAATATTCTAAAAATATTGGATTTTTAAATATTTTTGAACTGACATGTTATTATCAATATTTATTCAATTGATATTTATTTGTATTAATTAAAGGTTATATTTCTTTTTAAATTGAATTAATGCTGATAAAAATGCTATTATTTGTTTATATTAAGTATAAATTTATATTGAACTTATTTAAACTGTTGAATAACATCACCGATTTTTTTTACAAAGAATTTAATTTTTTAAAAAATTTTGGAGACAGAAAATGCCTTCTTTCGGATATAAGCTACAAAAAGGCAAAAGACTACAGGCATTAAGAGGTTCCGTTTTGTAAGTCTTTCATAAATTCGACTGGGAGATGAAGACCGTGGTCCGAAATTTCCTGGTTAAAGCACACTTAAATGGAATTCGAATTCAAACCAAATTACCTCCAGAATAATAGAATGACGCCTTAAGCACTCCACCATTTGACCGTTCGACGTTATTTATCATGATATTAATTGATAATATATTAAAAAGTTAGGTTATAAAATATAAGATATAGAAAAGTTTTGTTTTGCACGTATTAAAAAGAATTTGAACTAGATTTACGCATTGATGTTAAAAATAATTATTATTTCAAACAAATATAAAAACATCGCCTTACCTTTTCAATGTTAACTTTCTAAATATTGTTTTACTGTAATCGTACTGGTCATTCACTTTGTATCATTTTCTTAATCATTTGTTTCTTCAACTAATTTCTACTCTCTTAAGATTTTATTTTACTTTTTTAAAATGTTATGGAACTCTATTTGCAATCTTTAAACTTAAATATACGATTTTTTTGTATTCTAGTTTTGTAAAATTTAATTTTAATATAAAAGTAGATTTTTTTAGCCTCTTTGTTATAAAAATGCTTCAAATTTTTAAAGAATTTTTATGAAAATGTAATTGTTTTAGAAAGCTTTTAACACATTCTACAGAGTACAAGTTTGTTATTCTAGATAGTTTTCTTCGATATTTTACCGACTTTTTTGTACAATCATTTATAGCTTTAACGATTTATTTAGCTGCAGTAATGAAGTAAACCAAAACTGTACTTTATTGTGTCAGCTCATATGATATTTCTTCTATAGATTAAATATATCGTGTCCTATTTTAACAGAGTCAATCAATGTTATGAATTTATGCTGCTTTTCTAAGAAAACTGAGTCCGAGACAAGACAAACCTTATTCGTAATTAAGACAAATTGTCATTAAAGAATAAGAAGGATTAGGAAACATTCAGAGGTCATTAACACATCGAGACTATTTCGAGCAAAACTGTGTTGAGGCACCCAACAGGGATCGTGTTCGAAAATAAATCTTTACTGGTTCCTTAATTGGTACCTTTCAACGAGATGTTGGATCATTTGTCCCGATTTCTTTGCTATTATAACTAAAAAAAATCATGACTCTATCCGGTCCAGTTTGGCAGGTGGTATGGAAAACATTTGCAAACAAATAAGTGCTGATCATAGAAGGAAACGAACACTTTTCTTTACCGAAACTACAAATTACATGTAATTGCATGCTTATACATAAATTTTATTTATTTTTTAAAAGAAATCCACGATATTTATTTCACTTTCACTATTAAATATAAAGGATGAGATTGTTATTCTTGTATTGAACTAGTGTTTATTAAATGACTTACATCATCAATTCATCTAACTCCTTGTAAATATATTTTTCAAAGCCAAATATTAATTTTACAAAAAGAAGAACAAGACATCGATAAAGTATTTTTAATATGCAACATAGAAAAAAATTTGAACAAATGTATCAGAATGAAGGCAGTTGGATAATAAAGAAAGTAAAATTAAGAATTGTAATGATGATATAAATCTCGATATATAAACGCTAATTTACGTTTTTATGGGTTTTTTTTTTCAATTAGAAAGATTGATGTAAAGATTAGAAAAATAATATTAAAAAAATCCATATCTGATAAAAGAACTANTCAAAGTTCTATAATCATTTCGTATCATAAAGTATCAAAGTCCTGTAGAACAATTAAAAAAGTGACAAAAAATAACACGAATACTAGAAATTAATTTTATATTTTCTATTAATTATATTTTATTTCAAATATATTTTTATATGGACTGGTCCATAAATTATGCAACGTTACGTTTTAACTACTATTCCAGTCGCTCGTAACGGTATGTAATGCTTTCGCACATACTCACCCCCAAAATTACGTAATGCTTGTCCCGAATCGACCTCTTAATTGTACAAAAACATAATACACAGCACGGAATAATGAAGGTTACATTATTATATTAATTAAGTACTGAGTATTACATAACTTAATAATACACAAAATTATTTCTTAGAACAAAAATTTGTCTTATTAATTACAAATAACACAATTTACGTATATTTATCGTTTGCTAAAATTTGTTAAAATTTGCTAAAAACTTAATATACCTAATTTTATAAAAGTTATAAATTCTAAACAATTTTCTTTTATATTAAGTTTTGTGAATATCAATGAACTAATACAGTAAAACCTGTTCAAAACGGAACCTGAATAAAACAGAAACCTGCCTAAACGGAAAAAGTTTTTCGGAACGGAGCGATTTTCTATGTTAAAAAAGACCTGTTCAACAGTGGTGCGTTATCCTATGGGCAATAAGGGCAATTGACTGGGGTCCCCTCAAACAAGGGGCCCCAAACCAATCTTTTATAAGAAAATATTTCCCTAAAAGATTCCTCTGAAGACAAACGTCTGATGTCAACATTGTACACGATACCCCCTAATTCAAATTTGAGTGGGTCCCACGAAGCTATAATGCGCCAGTGCTGTTCAAAACGGAAACCTGCCAAATCGGAAAAATATTCGGTACCATGAAATTTCACTTTACGCAGGTTTAACTGCTTTTTTCTCCTGTCTGAAACCCATATTCCATTAATGTAATAACAAAAATACTCTTTTAACCGACGGATTTGTTCTTGATAAACCTCATCAACCTGTGCCGGTTTTTATGATTCATATTATCGTTTCTAAAATAGTTAAAGATATAAATTCTATGATGTTCTGTTGTTCATTCATTTAACCTTTAATTGATATCATGTTCATCCATGTAAAGTGAATTCAGAAGTTTCTGTAAAACAAAATTTCATAAAAGTTTCCTGGTAGAAATGAGAGTAATGCCTGTTTCGAAGGCATTTACGGAGATACCGGGACATAATGTTTTAAAATGAAACTGTCCCGGTCGAGACGGGACGCCTGGTTACTTTATGTAATATATATGTGAAATATAAGTGATCTAATCGTATTACGTAGTCACTAATGTCCGAGTGGATGAAACCACTGAACGCCGTTTGTTGAACACTGAAGGTTTGTCGTGGGTTCGCACCTCTCCAACGGGATGACCACGGGAGTTTTCCGGGTTTTCTTCGTGTGTGTAGCACCAAAATAGGGGTTAGTTTCCTATAACAAACATCCCGGGAGGCATCACCCATCTGTCGCGTTATCGTATACGAATAAAACCAATAAACATTCTTCCTTGCAGGTTCACAACTTTAAATGTCTAAATATTATATCCTGAATTAAAAAATTATAAACCTTGCGTTAATAATTCTGTTTTGTTTATTAATATTTATTTAAATATTAAATATTTTCCAAAAAATTATATTTTATTTTATAGAAATGATACAATATTTAGTATGGAAAGGAAAATTATACTTTCGAAAAGTAATACAAAAATCATACAATTTTAAATTAAACAGATTAAATAAAAATAAAATAAATGAAATATATTTAAGTGAAATCATTTATTCCTGTAAAAACAGTTCAATTAATATAAGGTTTCTGTAAGTTCCTCAAAGGATTCTCAGTGACGTCATTCTTAGCACTCTTTCTGAACTGAGAAATTTCAATACTTTATCCGGGATTACTAGGTAAATTTGCTGGCAGAGTCACAGCTGCGAGTTATTATTCATCTTAACAACCGATTTATTCATCCTAGTGATTTAAATTGATGCAAATTAAATAAGTTTCTTATCAGTTCTTTTAATCAGTTTTGTAATATATTTTTTCCCTTTTCTTAGTGTTAAAATATTATTTAATAGAAATGTCTAAAAATAACAGCTTAATAAATTATTTAGAGTGAATATTTCTACAAGGTCATAATAATTTACAGTTTAAAGATTTAATATTTGTGAAAAATTCTTTATCCTATATATTACACTTTCAATCATGTTGAGTGACAACCAGAAGTGCTACTTCAATTTACGTTAATTACAGTTACTCTTGAAAAGTTAAGTATCCTAGTAACAATAACTAATACTGAATAAATATTCTCTTTGCTTCTTTGATTGAATACTTCTTTATAAATTCTTGTTTTATGATATATTTTCCAATTGCTCCATTTAAATAAAGGTAATTCATACGGATAACAATACTCGAAAGAGAAATTATGCTAATTTTTCTTGATTTTTCTACAGTAAACACGTTATCTTTGTTTATTACAGGAACAAGAAAGTTCGAATGTTTTTAAGAAATTATCTTCGTGTGAAGATGAAGAGAGTGAACAAGAGGAAGTTGAAGAAGGTCCTCCAGTATCTGCTTTGCATAGAAGGAGAGCTTTGGTGCCTCCAAAGGTTAGTTTTGTGATAAATTTAATAAAATTCTTTATTTAAAAATACAAAATGCCGTGTTAGTTTTAATATTATTTTTATATTCATTATTTATTTCGTCGTTTTTATTGAATATAAAGAAAATTTATAAAATTGAAGTTTCTTATTTCCTGCAAGTTTCGAGCATTAACAACATTACTTTCTATAAAGTTTCTTATAAAAAAAATTCGTGTTCTTTACATTAAAATCTGTATTTTAATTCAAAAAACTCTATGCAATCCGTTATCAATGAGTAAAAGCGAGAAATATCAAATCGTTAATTATCAAATTCTTCTGTAACTTCTACAATTAGAAATGATTTGTGATTTCATAACAAACAACCAGGATATCCTTGTTAGCAAAGCTCGACTGATTTTGTAGGAAAACTAGAGTAATGGCCAAAGTCAACATTAGAAATTAAGAAGTGGAATAGTAGGTCGCGTGTTAAGGTGAAAGCATAAATATTACTTTATCTTTTTAAAGATATTATTTGTCGTTATCTCTTTATTTTAAAAATTTATATGCTTTAAGTAAATCTGTCGAAAATAATTTTTCATGTGTTTTTTTAATATTATTTTAATATTTCGTATATTTTACTCCTCAATATAAATAACTTGTAGAAGATATCTCATTTTAGTTCGTATGTAGGAAGTTTATATTTATGTTATTCTATGCTTAATTAAGATATTTACCAACAACTCGAATAGCGTAATGTTTCCTCTATCGACTGTAAGCAAGATAATTTATGCAATTATATGAGAAAATAATAAATTATTAGACATGTGGTATACATCTGGAAAGTAACGATCACTTATGATACGAGTTTTCCCTTAGGAGTAAAAAATTATTGGTGTGTTGGAAATAAGTTGGCCAGAAGAAACCGTATGTCTCAATAAACTAGTATCATTGTATCATGTTAGGGCTTCTTAAACTGTGGATCGCGAATCCAAAAGGGGTTGCGAAACATTCGACAACTGCAAAGTTTTGTACTACGTATTTATGCGACGATTATAAAATCAAAATGTTGGTCAATTCTGAAAAAAGGTTGAAGATATCTTGCATTCTGCAGTGTCGAATATTCAGCCAAGATTTAATTCTTTATGTAAAAATAAACAAGTATATGATGATATCAGTACGCAAATTTACTTTTGTCTTTAATAAATGGTAATAAATTGTAAAATAATATGTTTATCAGAGAATTGTTTTGGAATAAATTGTTCTATGAATTATTATCAGTAAGTGATTTTATTTGTATTTATTATCTATTTTACATACCTGTAAAACGTGGGTCGCGTAAAATTTTCTCGGGTTAAAGAGGGTTCGCGAATTGAAAATGTTTAACAAACCTTGGTCTATGTTAAAATTCATTCATTTTTGCGCCAATTTTCTATTCCTCTCGAATGTTTCTTTTGGCTTGTTTACTCTTTTACTCATCCATCATTTCAGTTTCTTCTCATTAACGCTTTAAAATCATTTCGATTCATCGAAAAAGTAAAAATTTTACAAATATTATATGCATTATATACGTAAACATTAATTCTGAAAACTCTACTTCTACTGTAAAAAATATTATTTATAGTTAATTCTCGAGTGATCGTTATATATAACATTCATTATCTGTAAAAAGTATCTGATAAATGAGCTGATGAAATCAATATTTGTGTTAAAAAGAAAAATATTTAATTAATTCTAATAGGAAATAGTTATGTGGGCCTAAATGTAAAACATTTAATATGGTATTCTACGTTTATTTATATACAAAGCGTTATATGAAACGTTTATGTTTGCTTTTTAAAATCATCTATATTTGGATATTTTTATTATTATAAAATATATTCTTACGTTTAGATGTGTTTTCTACAGCAGTAACTCGCACATAAGTATAATCTCTAAGCCTGTAATCTCATAAAAGCCCGTCTATTTTTGCTTTCAAATATTCTGATAGTTTCATAAACTTATATACAGGTGAATGAACTTTTAGTTTGCATATTGATTAAATTTCCATAAAATTTCTAAAATATTTCCTGAATGAAGAGTGTTTTTAAAACAGTTTTACTTAAATCTTGGAAAATATCAACTTTATACGCACATTTTGTTTTATTTTTTTAATATTGTATCACGTAACAATACGAATTTGTAAAAACTTTATGATTTTCACAATGATTCCTATAAACTTTACGTTAATAATATTCAAGGAATTAATCGAAATAATTTTCAAGTAAATTTCATAAATTATTAATACATCAAACGAAATTAGTAAATGCATGAGTGATTTCATATTAAAATCTAGATTAAAAAATACGATTTTAATTTCGTTTATAAAGAAAATTATATTGACTTTTTTTTTTATTTTAAAAATGTTTATACTATAAATTTGTTAGTACGAACTGATTAAATTTAATAAAAAATGAAATAAAATAAATATTTACGAGTTGTGTCCCTGAAGAGTCATTGAACACCGTTCTCAATTGTTTAACATAAAAGTATACTTTAACATTAAATAACAACAATAAAATATATATCTGAACTTATTATATAACTTTTCAAAAAATTGATATTAAATAAATTTTATTTTAATTTTCTATTACAAATAAATTCCGTGTGACATTATTTTTATAGAAGAATTTTTGTCAGAAAAAGATATGTACGAATATTTAGCTATAGAAAAATAAATTTTATGATAATAATATTTGATTTCTTTGTTAGTGAAAAGGTTTTGAATAATTGTACAGGTTCTAAACTAATTTTTGGGTTATTTCAACTAAATTAAATTAAATTAAACTAACTTATTTTTGAATTTGATAACAAGATTCTTGTTTTTCTTTATTTATGCTTATAATAGATTTAGTAAAAATGTTATCTTTATTTATTTATCTACTGTTAACAGATACTCTTTATCTACTAAATTATTTTATATCACCCCTATAACGAGTCTTTTCCTTTGTGAAAACAATTTTAAATGTTTAGATAATACTATTATAATTAAATGTACAGTCAATATCTTTATTATATACAGCAGTTTGTATATGCCCGGCTCCGCATGGCACTACCGGGAATGAAAACCAGATACAGTAGTTGTTAACTTGTTTACAATACAGGAATTACAGAGATATCAAGAAGTAGGTTGGAATAGAATACAAGAGTAAATACAATGGTGATGCATGTATAGCAATGATGTTGTAGTTAAATACAATGATAATGTAGTTAATTACAATTTGTTAACAGTATAAGGTACATACAGAATTACAAAGTGATGGATTTTGAAAGCTATACAAGTATAGACACTATGCAATATTACAAGTATTAATGCAAAATAAAACATAAGTGTATAAGTGTAGAAGGAAAAAGCACATAAAATACATAAAATTGAGTACAATACAGCAAATAAAGTAATAATGCATTATAATAGAGTGTAAAATACAATTTGAGTATAGAATACAATACATAAGAGAAGTAATACGAGCCATTACATTACAACTTTGAAAACAGTAGCAGTTAGGTGGCATATGTACAGTACTGTACAGTATTTACAGATGTCCGTAGCAGTGGCGGAGGTAATGAAAAGAACGAAGCCTGGTGAGGAACTACTCATGCGTGGTGATGGGTGCCACTTGCTCATAAGCAAGCACTAGGTTACGAAAAGCTGTATAAAGATCCTTGTGTTTAATTAAGGAGATTGTGTTGCTGACACGGCCAGGAGATGTTTGATTTCTGTGCAATTAGTTCAATTTCGAGATGTTCCCTTTCAAGGCACACGCATCTGTAAAGATAGTGGTTGGGACAGTCCACCTCCCTACAGATGGCACAAAGGGGAGTACGTTTACCCGTAAAGCGATGGAGATAAGTGGAAAATCGACTCTCCTATAACACTGTTGATAATTCCGTTTTATATGAATTCCATGTTGTACGAGTCACTTAGATTTTACAAATACGTGAGCCGTTTACAGCCCGGCACACGTATTTGTAAAATCTGACTCGTATAACATGGAATTCATATAACACGGAATTATCAACAGTGTTATGGTGGTTCAACTGTAGTTATAATTGTTATTGGTAACTNTTACGCATTGATGTTAAAAATAATTATTATTTCAAACAAATATAAAAACATCGCCTTACCTTTTCAATGTTAACTTTCTAAATATTGTTTTACTGTAATCGTACTGGTCATTCACTTTGTATCATTTTCTTAATCATTTGTTTCTTCAACTAATTTCTACTCTCTTAAGATTTTATTTTACTTTTTTAAAATGTTATGGAACTCTATTTGCAATCTTTAAACTTAAATATACGATTTTTTTGTATTCTAGTTTTGTAAAATTTAATTTTAATATAAAAGTAGATTTTTTTAGCCTCTTTGTTATAAAAATGCTTCAAATTTTTAAAGAAGTAATTTAAATGTTTTTATTTATTTATTTATTTTAGATATAAAAATAATGACATCTTCGTTAAGAAAATAAATTCCCGGAAAATAATATTTCAAATTAAATATCTATTTTCCTCCTTAAAGACGAAAATTAAGTGACGTTTTAATCCTAGTAAATGCCAAAATTTATTGCTCTATCAGATTTCAAAGATAGGCGACAAATAATTTTTAAAAATCTTCAAAATAAGTGAAATTATGTTCGATGTCTGCAAAAAATTTCTCTCTTATTATTGTTTCTTTTTTATTATAAATCTTCTAGCATCATTTTTGGATCCCAACATTAGATTAATGAGACGAATTACAGATCATAAATTTTAAGATTTATATGCGTTATATAGATCGATATTTAAGAATTGCGAGTGCAATGTACCGATTTAGTAGTAGCTTCTTTAATAATTGATTTATTACCTGTCGATAATACGATTTATTTCGCTCTTATTATAGAAAAATTGATTGTTTTGTTTAAAAAAAAATTCAAAATTGAAATTATTGATTAGTTTAAACATTTCACGACATTTTTCTAAAATAGGTCTATTCATTTAGTATCATTTTACGTCAA